AATACTGACAATATAGTGTTACTTTACTGAAGAAAATAATATGATGTTTATACTATTTAGGATCCATTATGTTTAATAGATACATTAAGTATATTAAGGAAAAAAGCCTAGAAAAAACACTAAGAAATAAACTGTACCTATCTCTGTATTGAGAAAAGTGACTGTACAGTTTTTATTTTATTTATTTTATTTATTTGGCGGAACTGGGGATTGAACTCAGACCCTTGCGCTTGCCAGGGAAACACTTATTCTACTGAGCTATCTTCCCAGCCCCTGATTGTAGTTTTTAAATCCTTTTGCTGAGGCTGGGCTCCAATTTTCATTCTCAAACTTCAGCTTCCAGGTTGCTGGGATTACAGGCATGTTCCTTACTCCCAAGTTTTTGTACTATTTATTTTTTTTTAGAAACTGCTTGTAATTCCAGCCCTTTGGGAGGCTGAGGCAAAGGATCACTATGGGTTTGAGGCCAGCCTGGACTACATGGTGAGACTCTGTCTTTAAAATTAAAAAAAAAATCACCTGAGAAAATGAACATGCGGGCGGGGGGGGGGGGGATGAACATGCCAAAATCAGCTACAACAAAAATTTTCAGTTTCCACTGGTTTATTAAAAAATGCCCTTTGAACCACAAATCATGCTTTGTGCAGACCAGTATTTTCAGGGTCACAAGTTTCTGCTATTTGGCATTTAAAACATCTTTCATTAAAAAAACAAGCCTTTCATTTAAGGATCCTTCCATTCTGTACGATTATGATGTTTAAAAAATACCAAGACTTGAACTTAAAATGATGCTAAGCTCTGATAATTATTTGACACCCACCTAGCCGAGCGTATATCAAAGTATCAAACAGACCGAATACTTCCAGGCCCACATCTGTATTATGTGATAGAATATGCCTAGCTTGAATCACATGTGCAAGTGGAGATGGTTTCCATCCCAAATTTATCAGCAGCCGGGCACGGTGTGCACTCCTGTGATCCCAGCACAAGAGAGGTGGAGGCAAGAGGACTGCTGTGAGTTCAAGGCCAACCTGGGCTACAGTGAGTTCAGGAGCAGTCTGAACTATACAGTGAGACCCTGTCTCAAAAAAAAAAAACAAAAACAAAAACAAAAAAACTATCATCAGTCTAGTTGTTAAAAGTCTAACAACTTTTCAAGTGTCTGGATATACACCGTCAACAGAATATAGACAATTCTAAACTAGTGATCCTCAACGAAGGGCATGAAAAACGATTATCTAAGGGAGAAGACAGAAAATTCTAGAATTTTTATTTAACTCCATTCTTTAAAATACTTTGGGGGCCAGGGAGATGGCTCAGTAGAATAAGTGCTTCTCTGGCAAGCGCAAGGGCCAGAGTTCAATCCCTGGTTCTGCCAAAAAAAAATAAAATACTTTGTGGTTATAATGTACATAGATATTACTTCATATATATAACTGAAGCAGTGTATTTTATACATGTACATATGCAAAGTACACCTATTCTACAATATGCATGCTCTCATCTACATGTACAACACATAAAATGTCAGTTTACATAAAATGTATTATGTACACTACAAGGAGCATGTTGTGAAACTTACAGGGTTAGGAGACTATCTGGAGGTCTGTGGTCTGAACACTCCCTGGTAGGAAAATTTAGCCAGGACATTAAAAAATAAAGTCCTTGATGAAATAATCAGAAATAGGGCTGGTGAGATGGCTCATTGGTCTAAAGCACCTACTTAGAACAAGCTAAACAAAAGCACAGGGACGGAGGTTCAATCCCCAGCACCACATGCCAGCCAGCCTCGCCCCCTGGTGGGCTGAGCTGGCCACACACACACAAATAAACAAAATTAAAAAAAATAATAATAATCAGAAATAGTGGGTAGGCCTAGTGTGTTGGTGGATGCCTGTCATCCTAGCACTCAGAAGGCTGATGCAGGAGGATAGCTGCAAGTTTGAGGCCAGCCTGGGCTACATAGTGAGTTCAAGACCAACCTGGACTACATAGAGACCCTATGAAGAGGGGAGGGGACGTAGGGGGGAAGAAGAGAGGGAAGGAAGAGGAGAGGGGAAGTGAAGGAAGCTCAGTAAAGAATAAAGAAGGTAGGGGCCCGGGGAAATGGCTCAGTGAAATAAGCGCTACCCTGGCAAGCGCAAGGGCCTGAGTTCAATCCCTGGGGGGGGGGGGGGAGAGAGAGAGAGAAGAGAAGAAAGAAGGTAAACCCAAGCCAAGTAGACAGTGTAGAACTGAAAAGCCAGAGGCCTGAGGCAAGTTGTGGTGGGTAGGGAGGGTGTAAGGGAAAATGATTATTTGTGGGTAAAAACTACTGTGTTTACTTCTATGATCTGATGAAAGGAAGTGAGTCAAGTGTCTGGGTGGATACTGTTCCTGCCTGATGGGCAAGCCAGCACTGAGAGGCAACCGACCACCAGACATCCCAAAATAGACGCTATGTTGTCAAGTTACAATGGTGCCAACAGAACGAAGCTGAAAAACAGGCCGATGTTTACAGTTATTTAATACAGGCTTAATGCTAGGCAGCCCGGATTTGTGTATGCTAATTTGGCTTAGGAAGAAAGCAAAGGGTAAAATATTGACATAGTGAACAAGGAAGAATTTGGAATTGGTCTAATCATTTTACTAAGTACAGTATTCCTAAATTTCCCAATTGGCAGAACAGTCTGTCTTGACTATACAATTGTTTTTATTAAAGATACTGAGGACTAAAGTGTTTATTGTTCTATGTGGGGGGAAAAAAATTCTGGGGACTGAACCCTGAGCTACATTTTTAGCCCTTTTCCTTTCTTCATTTTAAGACAGAACCTAGCTAACTGTACAGGCTAACTTCCAACTTGGAATTCTTAGTCTCTTGAGTGGCTGGGATTGCAGGCATGCACCAAAACAGTTTACACAGCACAACTGTCTTTGCACTTGACACTCCCCTTTAATGTACTTAAATTTTTTTGTTATAATCGTCTTTAAAAGCCTAGCAGAATATACACAGCTCAGAGGTAGAGCACTTGCTCAGCAGCATAAGCGCCTGCCTGGCAAGCTCAAGGTCCTGAGTTCAATCCCTGGCACCCTCCCCCAAAAAACTAAAACAAGGAAATTTTAAAAGGGGGGGGCAGGAGATGGCTCAGTGGAATAAGCGCTTCCCTGGCAAGTGCAAGGGCCTGAGTTCAATCCCTGGTTCCACCAAAAAATAAAAAATTAA